ATATTTATATATATATATATAATGTTAATTGATCTAATATTAATTGATATACATTGATTATCTTAACTGATTAAGTGTAGTAAACTAATTCAGGATCTATCATGCTTGGTTAAAATTGCTTTGTTGTAAACTATAAAAACAAACAATAATGTGTCACATTAAAATTAATTACTATAGTTCATCATGTAAACAATATATAATATAGTTATAATTATGTATTATATATATATATATAATATTTTATATATATATAGATATCTTTATAGATATAGATTATATATAAATATATATATATATATATATATATATAATGAGAGAGAGATAAAATTTATATATATATATATAGAAGTAGATAATGTCCAAGCATTAACATCCGTCGTAGCCATATATGGTTTGCCTAGATCGTGTGTGCCTGAAAAGTGTGTGGTTCTGCAGGCCTGTAGCTGGATAGTATTGGTCTGTTTAAACTTTGTTAAAATCTTATTCTGCATGCAAAAACAAATGTTACGTTGAAATAAACGTTTAAGACAATTCTGTGTTGTATTGAGTTTTTACATTCTGGAAAATGTCTCCATTAATTGTTATGCGCATCTCAGAATATATATATATATATATATATATATATATATATTTTTTTTTTTAATGCTTGATGGAAAGCCAAGATGCTCAAGTTTTAAAACAACATAAAAAAATGTGTGTGTATGCATATATATATATATGTGTGTGTGTATACACGTGTGTGTATATGTATATATATATACATACATACACACACACACAAATATATACATATATATATACATACATTATGTATGTATATATATATATGTATATATTTGTGTGTGTGTATGTGTATATATGTGTATATATACATACAAACACATATATATATATATGTATACATACATATATATATGTATGTATATGTGTGAGTATAGATGTACAATTAAAATTATTAGAATGAGTAAAAGCAGTCTGGCGGTTGGGTCTGAACGTTTCAAACGTTGTCCACTAGAGGGCAGGAAATGTCTTTTTATCACCCAACTTTAATGTCACTTGCCGTTTCATTGTGGTGCAGTTTATAAAATAAATGATCAATAACGGTCTTGATCTATACAATGGATCAACTCTGCTCAGTCTTCTCCTTCAGTCGTAAGTTAAATGCACTTGCTTTTTGCTTAGAGGAGTTAAATGATCGGGTAAAAAAATGCCATTACTAGTTAATAAACCAATTCTTATCATAAAATGAAAGCCACGCCTCTTTTGCCTCTGACGTCGTGCTGTCAATCATTCTGCTATTCGACGAACAACTTTATCATCGGCGGATCAAGGTAAC